GTATGTATTTTTTCAATTAAAATTATTTTGATATATAACCAAAAAATATTTAAAAAATATAATATAATATATATATCATATATTATATATTATATTATATTATATATATTGTATATATTATATATATATATTATTTTTTAAATATTTTTTTATTATATATAAATACAATTTTAGAAATTTGAATAAATAAAAAAAAATTTTATAAACTAATTTTTCAAAGTTTGGAAAACGGTCTCCGTAATTTTAACAAAATTCTCATACAGAGTTTGATGGTGGGTTTCGTGGAGGGTTTCGTGGAAGATTTCGTGGAAAGTTTCATGAAGGGTTTCGTAGTTTCGTATTTTTTAACGTATATATATATGTATATTGATTATTGGAATTTTTTAAAAATATACGATAACATCCATATGCGTAAGAGGGGCGCGCCTAGCGCGCCATATACGCTAGTTAATCTTAAAAATGCAAATCTTGAATTTCGAATTGAAGTTGATAAAGTTGGAAGTAATGAGTGAATAAATTAATGAGTGATTATGATTACAGGTTATTTTCTTGGGGATTGTGGCTGTGGCATTGGCTCAGGAGGTGCCAGTAGCAATTGTTCGTCAGGCTCAGGACATCTCGCCTGATGGTACCTACAGTTACAGCTATGAAACTGAGAATGGAATCAGAGCATCAGAAGAGGGTCATCCAGGCCCAGTGAACGAAGAAGGTGCACCAGCTGTTGTTGCTCAAGGACAATTCGAGTACACAGCTCCCGATGGTACACCCATTTCCGTTTCCTACACAGCCAATGAGAATGGATTCCAGCCTCAAGGATCTCATCTCCCTGTTGCTCCACCAGTACCAGCGCAAATTGCCCGAGCAATTGACTACATACTCTCCAAGCAGCATTGATTTATGTAATTAATTCATTAATTTCTCTCACTGTAAACTGTTAATAAACTTCTCCAGCTCCAATAAATCAATTCAATCGATTTGTTATTTATTATCAACAATTTATTGATAAGATTTCAGAGAATATCGAATTGATTTATAAAAATTCATCAATTCACAAAAAGAAATTTTAAATTCATCATTTCATTGAGAAAATCCGTGGAAAATCCAGAAATCGTTCACATTTTATTCTTTGAAATATCCCAAATAAAATTTCCTATTAATTATTAAAAATCTGTGGAGAATAATTAATTTTTCGTTGGTTATCACAAAAAAATGGGATTTATCGGCGAATTTTTTCCTCAAATGAGATTCAGTGAAACATTAAAGATAGATTTTTCCACCGATGAACTAATTGAAATACTGATAATTATTTATAGCCATGAATCATTTCAGATTGAATAGAAATTCAACCCACAGGATTCCTGACCGCTGGGGAAACAATAGATGAAAATATTCAATAAATTCTCCACGCCCGACGATGATGATTTCACACGTTGTCATGAAAATTTGAAATCATCTCAGTTATGCAAAGTATGGCATTCAGTGAATTGAGAATTATTAAGCACAAGCATCACGGAATTATTCAAGACAGCGAGAGATGATGGTGCGACGCCCACGATTTGAATATCAAGAACGTACCAATAGGTCAAATTACGAGGATTGCAAATTAAAAGTACAACTTGTATATTATACTCACGATATATCAGTGCAGATCACTTCTCAAGCTGTTTACGTGGCCTATATTCTCATCAAATTATTATAGTTGTAATTACAAGGCCCAATCAATTGATTGCTGTAATCGACTCTGGGACTGATAGGCAATTACGTAAAGAGTACACAGACAGGTACATTGAAGATGTCTCAAGCACCACTTTTTCATGAATCATATCAGCCTAGGCTAATTATCCAATTATCTCCACTTTTTAGTTTATTTTTTATTTTATATTTTAGATTTTTTCCTCTCCAATCGTCTGGCCGTGTACTTTGCATTTTAGGGATGAGCAAAAATTTTGTTTTATTTTCTATTTGTCATGGAATTTTATCGATTCTCGGGAGTTTTCAGAAGCATTTCGATGAGTTTTCGCGAAAATTTTCCTGGAATTGATAGTGGGGTAATCTGTAGACAAAAAGTCAAGAAAATTTCGCTATCTCGGTTGAAAATCGAGAAAAATCCGAAAAATTCCGGAAAATGGAAAATTTATGGAAATTTTATGATCACTTGATAAATCAATAGATCGGCGGAAATCATGCGATTTGCAAGAATAAATCATTTCACTTCATAGCGAAGTCAAACTCGAAAAAGTGCATTTTCTTCGAGACCAGTATTTCCTAAATATCTGAAAATTGACACAAGATACCGATATTTTCATAACCACCTTTTTTGTAGCCGCCATATTTTCCTACAAAAAATGTTTATGCAAAAAATTTCCATATCCCTTCAACCCCGAGATATCAGCTAAAAACTCGTTTTAAAATCGAGAAAAATCCGAAAAATTCCGGAAAATGGAAAATTCCTGGAAATTTTATTATTACTTCATAAATCAATAGATCGAGCAAAATCATGCGATTTGCAAAAATAAATCATTTCACTTCATAGCGAAGTCAAACTCGAAAAAGTGCATTTTCTTCCAGACCAGTATTTCCTAAATATCTCAAAATTGACCCAAGATACCGATATTTTCATAACCACCTTTTTTATAGCCCTCATATTCTCCTACAAAAAATGTTTATGCAAAAAATTTCCATATCCCTTCAATCTCGAGATATCATCTAAAAACAGGGGTGTAAAAAATGTGCTTATTCCACTTAACCAATCAGTTATTCCGCATAAAATTATCCTATCAATTTAACGACTGTGAATAGCTCTATATTCAAACAATAATAATAATAATAATAATAATAATAATAATAATAATAATAATAATAATAATAATA